AGGCTCCACTTCACTCAGCTGCCCGACAGAGCCGCTGCTTCTTCCCACTTTAACCTGAATAACTACTACTAAATAATATCTGTTTTAGGTAACTAAAACTCTGTTTGCAAGTGGATGAGAGGCCCAAATGTAGAGGAAAATATCCATTTACAAAAATATCTGGATGCGTATAGACAAGGTATGTGTGGAAGGTTTAGTGTGTAGGGTTTAGGGTCATCTATTGGTAAAACTAGTTAACACAGCTAGGTGTCACTAAATCCTGCACACTAGATGTTTAATTATTAGACGCCATATCAGAGGGTTGCATTAATCAAACTTAGATTTACACAATGTTACTAAAGTGATCTTTTTTTTGCTATTTGTCTGGGCTACTCCTTCTAGAAAAATGGCTGGCGGGGATGTCAGAAGTCAGAAGATGTAAGTCGTAAGTAAGATGTAAGTAAGAGGTAAGTAGTGTCTTTTTTTTGTTCTGGTACATTTTCAAATTGTTTTCATGTTGAAATCATCCCATGTAAGTCAAAGTTGTTCAGTGTAATACATTATGTAAAAGTAAGAAAAATGTTTTGTAGAGATACATCAGACATGCTCATTTTGTCTGAAAGTCTCTGAGCTTCTGCATTTCTCTTAACTGCTGAAACAGCAGAGATAGCATAAACAAACTTATGATGGTAACTGTAGCTTACAAGCTAAGGACAAACACATCATCTGGCAAGGTGCTGTGTCGGCCATGCTAACGTGTGTGAGTGAACATTCGTGGTGGATACGTTTGTGATGTGAACGGCGTAAATCTACTGCTTACCTTGCGATCAACACATCAAAAGGACCACATTATTTAGCATCCAAACTGACAGATGATGATATATGTAGGTAAGTCTTTTTGATTTTTGTGTGTTAGAGCAAACAAGCAGACACAGGGCTCGACAGTGCGAGCATTTCACTCGCATTTGCAACTAAAAATAGGTGTGTGCAAACTGTAAAAAATATTTAGGGGCACATGTGTGCATAAAAAATCTATAAAAAATCTGCCTATATTTTTGTCAATAAAAAAATATGATAATCTAACCGCAAATGTTGGAGGAACTCCAGCAGCCTTCCCTCTTCCCTCTTCCCCGTGTGACACGGTTATGGGCGGTTTTCCAAGCCACTGTCAGCACAATGAATATAAGTCCCACTGTCGGCAGGGTGGAAATAAGTCAAAGTGTGGAGGAAGAGGCGGACCTACGGGGAAGCCTGCTCCGTTCTCCCCGCAGTTAGGGACCGTTCTCCATGGCCAGGCTGTCGGCTGGGTGGAAATAAAGCCCTTTTCACACAGAGCGCGCAAAGCACAGACCTCCGCCGATGAACCCATTCATTGTGTATGTGCTACTGCGGCGCAAGAGCGCACCACTCTGCCGCCGAGCTGAGCAACGAGAGGGCGCCGCGCAACGCCCTGCAGAGTTTCAGAGGACCTGGAGAATGTTTTAGGATAGTAATAACATTATATAAAAATCATATTGCAAAGATAATATATATATATAAGATAATAACATTAAAGATAAAATTAAATTGCAGTACTTTTTCAAAACTTGATGATTTTACCTTTCTGTACATTTTGTATACAAATTCATTAAATAATTTTGCTTGTAAATGTCTATTTGCATCACGTTTATTACGGAAAACACATTATTTGATCAATTTACATTGTGCCCCTAAAGTTCTTTGTGCACTCCTTACTTTTTCAACTTACGAGCACAAGTGCTCCTTGGGAAAAAAGTTAGCGTCAAGCCCTGAGACAGCTAGCCTGCAAACTGATGTTCGCAGTTTACTTCTCCATGGTTGATTTGGTAGCTAGAAAGCTAATGTGCATTGCAGTACAAACTACTAACTCTTATGTGTCTCTCTGGGTTATAGTAAGTGTCAGCCAGTGATAAAATGTGATGGTTTCTGCTTTATGCAAATGCTGCTTAAAATGAAATTGAATTAGCTTCATGGAGAGAGGCTCTCTGCCGTCGCTGACAGAGAACCAACAGTACTGAATATGACAAGTGGGAGGTGCTGTCATATTATTTTGTATGCTGTGTCAGAAAACAACCACATGCAATTCAAACTGAGTTGATCTTTTAAGTTCATGGTAAATGTTTTTGTAATATTTTATGATTTTTGGTAACTTTGCATCAAATAGTAATAATGGTCATGGTTTTGCAATATAGTTGTGTGCTATTTCTTCCATAGTACTACATCATGGTAATTTGTAGGGATGTCCCGATCCAACTTTTTCACTTCCGATCCGATACCGATATTACAGCCTTGAGTTTTGGCCGATACAGATACCGATCCGATCCAAGTGCGTATTATACATATTCACTTATTTTGTTGTCAGTCATGTTAGAAAAGGTTTGATCAAGCAATATTACTCTAACAAGAACAACTACTTAATCGGGTTAGTTAGAATGATCCACAACAGTTGGTATGAGAAACTGACCTGTTTATTGTTAACAGGGTTAAATAAACAAACTTTAAACTTGAACATTAGCATTAAATAAAAAATATAGCTGGTTTACTTTGGCTACTTTGGCCCCTTAATAAATAGAAAATTAATCAACACAAGAAATCTTTAAAATGTCTAACATTGAAATTAAAATAGCAGCAAGACTCCACACACTTGTGCTTTGGCCCCCTAATAAATAAAAAATAGATTAACACCACAAGACATTGTTGACATTTAACAAACAATGCAGCCTTTCCTTTTCAGTTATTTTAGTAGTGTCAGTGCCAGCCTGGTGCACAGGCACACAATATTGTACAGCTGTTTAAACAAGCAATAGTCCATCCATGGCTCCAATTTCACTAATTGTGCCCAAAACAATGCCATCAGTGCTCTTTACTTAAACAGTAAGAGTGTAAACCAAATAAAAATATCACTCTCAAAAAACCAGAGCAGAAAACAAATAGTCAGTTAACTAAGTTGACCGCTACTCATCCTACCCTACATGTGTGTCTGCCGTCTGCATGCTGGCCTGGTGGATTGATAGTAAGTGCTGGAGCGGATCACTGGAATGGACTGCTTGGATTGTGGAGCGCTGGGCTGGATCGGACTCAATGAAAAACTGGATTGGAGTTCTTGGCTCGGCATTTTTCCACGCAGTCCGATCTGATGCCGATGCACGTTTTTTTTGCTAATATCGCCGGCCGATTCGGATCGGGACATCCCTAGTAATTTGGTCTCCACTTAAGTGTCACATTACCATATTACAGGCAAAATTTCCAATGGTATTGCAGTGTTTCCCACAGGATTTTTGGAGATTATGGGGGTGATTCTGAATCCTGCAGGGGGATCCGGGGGCATACTCCCCCTGGAGAAAATTTTGTATATATTTGATTTAAAGGCATCAATCTGGTGAATTCTGAGAGCCAAGTTATGATGGCAGAATATGCCTAGATTTTCACATCTTTGTGCTTTTTATATGTGAAAAATATTCTATTTTTACTGATAAAAACACTAGTGGTATGTTATGGTGAAGGGTTACACTTAAATTACGGCTAAGGATTAGTGGTTAAACATTTCAGTAATCAAAAGAAAAATGACTAACGTACTGATCTGCCTCTGGAGGGCTATTTTATAATTTTAAATCATGTGCAGACAAAATATTCTTTTAAAACTCTCTCTCACACTCACAAACACATTTACAGATATGCAAAACAATACAAAATACGCAATACAAAAAAAAAAAGGTAAGATTGAAATTAATTACACACAGACAGACACAAATTACTGTTTTCTTCCTTCCCTCCCTCACGATTTGCAAGTTCGGCACCCTGAATCAGAGCATTTAATTTTACGCGACTTCGAAATGATGATTTCAAAAGCCCTCTGGTAGCTTGACGGCGCGTCAATTTGCACAGACCAGATGAGTCAAACAGGAAGTCAGGTGCAGAAAAGACGAGAGTATCCGCTCAATTTTCAAAATAAAACGACCATGAAAACCCAGGGGGGAGCCAAAGGATTCTCAGTAGGCACTCCAGCCGGTGCGCTACAGAGTGACATTCATTTACTGGAGTCTCGTCAATGTATGGGAAGCACTGTATTGTACTTTTATAGTAGGGACCACATTACTGTATCCCATTTTATGGTATTGCCAAGGTGCATTTTTCTATCAGGTAAAAGGTGTGGCTGTAGTTTCCATAAGTTTGAAATTTCCACTGATAACATCATGACCCATAATGCAGTTGTTACAGTTCACTTCAGTATACACTGGCATGCTGTTTGTGCATAGATAGATGTAAAAAGCAATAAAGGCAGGATGTTTATACTTCAAGGTATGTTGTAGTTACAAAACAAATGTCACTGCCGTCTCTGTGACAGACTAATGATGATTTTAATCTGATTTAAAACCTGCTCTATTTCCTGCACAAACCACAGGAAGAAGCGAAAGTCGCATTGCTTGGTTGCACAGTGCATTCTAAACCTAAATAAACCTACAGGTAATTTACTCACAAACGCACACAGGCATGCATAAAAACAAATGCAGAAATAAAGGAAGTGTCAGGGCAAACTGCAGGAGACAGACAGAAGTGAAGTCTTCCATTTATACAGACTTGCATAAATCCAGCTGTGTTGACCATTTAACCATGACGCCAGACATCTGAGAAGTAATGCATGGAAGCATTTTGGTTTTGAACAATGGATACACACTTAAACACTTGGATAAAGATAAGGCTGTATGCTGGCTTTGAAAGACATAACTACCTTATGGTAATATTACTGCAAAAAAAAGGTTTACTAAATAGCTGGTCTCACAAATGAGGCAAATAAAGAACTGAATAAACAGACTGTTACTTTTCCAGTGTAGTTTGGGGTTAGGCTGTGTGGGTTGCATTCAAATGTATTACAACAAATGATTTGCTTGTTTTGTTCTTTGGAACTTGACTTTTTGAAAAAATTGACAGCTGCGCAGTGCACTCCTTCCTGCCTTTCATCTGATACATCATTGCCGTGCTTAACTGCGCCCATGAAACCCGTGTGAAACTTAGTTTCCTGTTAACAATCTCCTGCACATTGACTGTGTGCAAAGGATTTTGAGGGGACTGAAAATGTTTCTTCTTCTGAGTTGTTGGATTATTGCAGGTAAGAAATAAATATTTCCATATACATGTTAAATGTCAAGACGAGAGGATCTATTTTTTTTTTTTAACTAGATAAGGTTTCGTGAAGTCAAACTCTGTGACACTGTGTTTAATGCAGTTAAGTCTTGTTTGCCATATGCAGAAGATATTTTTTATAAAGTTATTTCAAGGAATTTATTATTTTTGAGTTAAGTAGCTCTTAACTCTTTAGCCTTTGTGCTTCTGGTTCTTATGGTTTTGAAATCTGTAAGTTCATCAAAGGCATCCTTACTAATGTTTTGTTACAGGTGCATTTAGCATTTTCTATTAGTTAAAGAAGCCAAAACAGACCTTATATCAGTGTCTGTCCTGCAAAAACTAAATAAGTAAATAAAAAATAAAACAAGGGAAGGGATTTTGTTTTTTAAATGATTTTATCTAATGTTTCCTGTCAGGTGTTTCAGCAGAGGACCCACCAACGATGCACTACAGGGAGAGAAACAGCTATTTATGTCTAAAAATCAGAAAACCACCACCACATAAAGACATCAAGTGGCGTTTAAATGAGAAAGTCATTGTTATGCAGATGAACATCACACCTAAGTACATAGGTAAAGTGAATTATAATCCACAGGACCACTCAGTGTGTATCAAAAACCTCAACGAGACAGACAATGGCAGCTATCAAGTTTCAGTCACTGATGGGAATTATGATGAATCTGTGGAGAAACACATACTGATTGTGGAAGGTAAGATCTGAATGCTTCTTTGTCTTTAGCCAGTGTATGGGTCTTCTTGGTCTGCAGATTTCATTGTTAAGGTTATTATGGCAGTCCTAATGATACATGTTTCTTTAACTTGCAGTATTTAGCGAAAGACCACCTTCAAGATTTTCTCAAACCCTTCATGACATGAACATAATACATCAGACACCCCTTTAAATGCATATACTACGTCTGTTTTGTACATTGTTACATAGTTAGCATCCACCATTGTAAGTACCTGTTTATGTTCATGTTAGTATTTCGAACAATATGTGGAAATTAAAGTCTTAGTCTTTATTTCAGATCTTTCATTTGCCTATGAATCTTTGATAAAGACCACGTGGCTCGAACCTTCATGAAAATTTTGTGTTACCAGAACCGGCTGCTGACATTGAAAGTATAGACAAAGCCTAGGTATGCTGGGATACTGTAGGGGCACTCAATGGCTAGGGAAATAAAATTTAAAAAAACCTTAAAACATGTATGTATAGTGGAGGCTTTATGTGAGTCTTGTGTTGGTACAAATTTATTGATGTTGTTATTCCTACTGGTTGCCACCAGAGGGTGCCAACAAATCACCCAATGCCTCAATCTCTCTGTTTGGGTCGGTGTTGCAGAAACTGTTCCCACACCTGTCATTAAGATGTCAGGGCAGCACTCCAACCTGTCTGCTGGATTCTGCAACATCACAGTCAACTGCTCCATCCAGGACGACTGGGTGTGGTCTGTCTGCGATGGAGACAGTTGCACAACATCTCAGAGATCACTGAGGAAGGTCAACATCACCATCTCAACCGACACCAGATCTATTGTGTGTCGTGGCAACAACCATGTCAGCACAAGCAATGTTTCTGAAAGCATAGAGGCAAGGTGTAAGTATTTTTTATTTCTTTAAGGCTCACTCAATGACTGTCAAACTCTAAATCAAGAGATTAATATTCAGTCCTTTTTTCCTGGTCTCATCATTTTTAAAATTCTATTCGCTAATATGTGTTTCCATGTCTTGACAGGCTCAAGAAAATCTAATTCTGAACACGAGGAGCCATCAGGACCACCCACTGTACAAATAATACTTATCGCAGTGTGTGTGTTCTTCTGTGTATTTGCTGTCTGTGTGGCCAAGGGACTTTTTTCAACAGGCCGTAACTCCTTTCAGGTAAGCAGGATTTATCAAGCAATACATCTTCATCTTTGAAATGTAACCTTGAGTATGTAAAATCAAAAGAACTGGATGACAAAATGTTGTATTCCTTTCTGAACAAAAATATATATATTGTTTTGTGATCACAACTGAAACAATTATTCAAGATGTGAAATTGAGTTTTACCTCAATGTTGGATAGTCACAGTAGTTTTTTTTTTTATTTTTTACAATACTAAAAACATATTGTGCTTCATTATTTCTAGGGTCAGACATCTTCTGCTCAGTTAATAGAAAACCAGCCAGTGGATGCACAGCCTGCGCAGAGAGTCTCTACCTCTTCCTCCAGTCAAGCTGAGGCCTCTTATGAAAACGTGGATACGTCACAGCCCTGCCAGACCAGCAGCCCAACCATCAGCCCAAGAGAGGGCTTGGGATCTGCGCAAAGTCAGAAAGTAGATACTGTGTACAGCATTTTACAGGCACCAAAAATGACTTCCTCGCTAGGCAAGGTTGACGGCAGTGAAGATACGAAAGGACCCAAGGACGTACAAGAGGCATCGGCGTCTCAGTATGTCATCCTGGACGAGGCACAGCACTCTGCAAAAATTGACACAGTGTACAGTGTGTTGCAAAAGCCAAAAATCTGAAGTCACAGCACCACCGATACGTCAAATTTTCAGAAGACATGAGAAGATGAACATGACAAGTTAGACTCTGTTAGTTGAGCAGGTTAGACTCTGTGAAAGCCAGAATTATGATATTGACGTTCATTCAGTATTCACTTGAAACTGGAGGACACTTCTTTCGTGATTTTCCAATTTTTTTTTTTTTTACAGTTTTTTAGTATTGGTATTTGTATTTTTCCAGAAGAGATGAGAAGCTCATTTATATTTTTTCTTTACATGAAAAAGCAATCAAACAAAAAAAAAAAAAAACTCATTCATTCGTCAAGTCATTTGTGAATGACCCACCACTATAACATGTTTTTTTAACAGACTTCTTTGGATTGTTGCATCCTAAAATGCCTGATTTCAAAGGCAGCTTTTCAAAAAAAAAAAAAAAGCACTGCATGTTGTTACGTCTTTGGGCATTTCTTTCTTTTTTTTTTTTCAATGAAATTGCGAGAGCAAGGGAAAATGGTGAAAAACATTTTTTTTTAAATTTATAATTCATTAAAAATTAAAGGCAACTTGTTCCAGTCCGAAAAAACATGGCTAACCATGCATATTAGGCTAACTCACCTTGATTCTTTTAGCATGTTTTGATGATTTGTCTTGTCAGTTGTCCATGCACTCAGCCATTCTCTACATGTGTTTTGAGGTAGAAAAATCTTTGTCAAACGTTGTGGTTTGTGTTCCACCACAATTTTGCACACAGTGCAAAATAGTTAACCCCTGTTTTCCTGCAGAATATCAGGGATTTGCCTTGCATGATCTTTACCAGTGGTATTTGTTGGTAAATGTGAGATGTTTGTGTTGTACGTCTGCATCTTCACAACTGGAAAGAAGGAAATGAGTTTGGTGATGATATGCATGGTACTGCTATGATTCGTAAAACTAATGGAGGACTACAATGATTGGGAACATTTGCGTTAAAGTTGCAGTGATTGGACAAAATTGCAATGTTGGGCAGAGTTCTCAGGGATTGGTTGAATTTGCATGAATTGTTGCAGTCGCGTCCTCGCAATAATCCTGAAAGGCTGTGTAAGGTCCAGTGTTATCAACTGCAGCAGCAGTATGCTGCAGACCTTCAGCTGAACAGAGAGTTTGCCACAAATATTTCATGCATAACTCAACCAGGACTCAATGAAAATCTTACACAGTAGTAGTATCATTTTTAGGTGCTCGCAATGCAAACCAAGCCTTAAAGCCCGAACAGGAAAAAACGCAGAAGTTATGGTATTTGATACAGATTTTTCAATGTGACATACATACAAAGCAGTGACCCAGAGCTTAATGGGGACAGCAGAATTTAAATTAAAATTGGTCACTAAAACGTTTTTAGACTTGGTGAAAGTTTTAGGTTGTTTCTACTTGTTTCTGTACAGACAAAAGATGGATCTTTGCTGATTCAAATAAGGCTATTACATTGAAGGACTTGCATTATAGCATCTTGTGTGATTTCAAAAGTTGTATATACTGTACAGGATTCCTATTTTGTTAATAAGCTGACACACAGAACAATATACTGCATGTATGGAGATGTAAGAGGAGACACTGTATTGCACTTATTGAAGCTTACCAAAGTTTGTCTCATTTGTTGGTGAGGATGTTTTATTGTTTTACTTGACAGACCCCAATCACTGTGCAGTTAAAATAGGAGTACCTATAAATGACCACATGGGGGTGCCAAATTACCTTAATTGATACCTACACAATGTAAGTGCTCCTTTGTAAGTCTGGGACTGTTGGAGGTAGTTATGTCCCAGGATGCTATGTCAAGGTGACTAATGAGCCACATTCTCAAAAAGCTTTAGTACCTAATAATATCTTCTTGAAATTACTTACATTAAACTCAGAGTTTAATTCCTGGCAGCATTGTGTTCCAGCAAACACAATTGACTGCTCAGGGGTCACATCCTTAGCACTGTACTAATGTATGGGACTGATGGTTCTGAGCAAGTTAGCAAGCTGCAGGCCTTTCTGTACCATCTCTTTACTGAAAATGAATGACCCCATTGTTTTGCTTGGACCTGCTGTATTAAAAATTAGAGCAGAACAGAGTGGGAACCTTTGTGTCTGATTTTTTCAGACTCAGCCCTCGTTGCGTTGCCTGTTATCTTCTTCTGATGTTTCTGATTGAGAAGCATTGACCGCACACTTCCTCATGTCACCATCAGTCGTCATTGTTTTCAAAATATTCTGTTAAAAATTATGCTTTAATCACTGTATTATTTACCACTGATGCAGTGCGTTTGACTAAATCTCTGCCACTCACACAAAAATCTTATTGTGTATGATCCCTCCTCTTTTTCAGTGTACAGATATATAAGCTCTGGTGTGAATTTGGTGATAACATTGACTGATTCTTATCACTACAGCAACACATCTTAATGTGTGTGGAAACAGTTTTTTCATGCCTGCTAAGAAACGTTGGCTTAGCTTGTTTTTTCAGGCTTTAGTTGTAATCTTTAAAGCACAATGGAACAAAACCCACGCAACGATTTGATTCAGTATTTTGTTAATTTGATCAGTTTTCCCCTTTATGCATATATTGTCTAAAGTTATATTAGCAACATGAGCTAAAAGTGAAGGCATCATTGTAATTGTAAATTGAAATTGTAATTATGTTTTATTTGTTCGTTGTGGTTTTGTTTTAGATCTATGCTGTGTAGTGCATTAGGCCACAAAACAAGAACAGCATAGAGGACAACATTTAACACTGCTAAACTAATGAGGCGTTTTGGTATCTATTCATTCAGTTTTTATTCTACATTTAGTAATCTAATTTTCAAAAGTGCCATAGCCTTTGTGCAGCTGTTCTGATTCAATTTGCAGCAAGATAAAACATTTATTATTCAGGTGATTGCTTTGTCATTCATGGTATAGATCTGACGTGCGGTCCTCTCTTAGCATCTAAAAAGTTTTAATGTGTGTTGGATTTAACTTAAGATTTAATTTTAAATTTAATTCAGACATTTAAGGTCATATGATGTCTTAGATTTAAGCAAAGCTTTTAATACAGCAAGTGGCCAATCGGACTATACCAAGTTCCTGCCTATAGTTAAGATATTTAAACTAACCTCTGAAACCTTTCAATCACAAGGCTACAGACTCCTCTGGGAGCTGAGTTGTAGCACACTGCACAATCCCCTGTTGTTCAAAAACACTCACCTATAATGCTGATAGTAACAATTGTCTACTCGATATTACACTTTATCTACTACAGACTCAATCACAATGTTTGTTTACAACAACTTCCTGGTAGGAAACCCCTGTGTCATTTACATGAAATAAGATGTCGCAGAGCAACCACTGCCTCAGATGTTTAAGTTTTAGCCACCTGAGAAAAGGCCCACCTAAAATAAATCAGTATCAGTTTAAGTCTAAGCAATATGGAACATTTTTACTACTTTACCTTGCTGTTCTCTCATAGCCACCAGACTCCATTGACAGAAACAGGTGTTTCAGAACAGGGGAGTTGCTGGTCAACCACTGCCATGTTCAGTTGTGTAAAGTAAAGCGGTGAAAAAATTCCAAAAATAGCGTACACTTAAACTGATACTGATTTTCTTAGGTGGTTTAAGTACATAGTGCTGCAGCCCTTGTGTAAAGCACTGCATTACTTAGCTTCCGTGCAGGTGGATTTGGTTCATCAAGACGCTAGCAAAGCAACACAGTACGGCAAAAACGTCAGGTCAGACCACTGTGTTAAACTATATATCTTGAAACATTCCAGTTACGGCTGAAAGTGCTGCTCCTGGGGGAAAGAGTTTTGTGACCCATCCACGACTCCGACCTGCCTCCTCATGGGCATACTTCCTTCTTTCCCTCTGTTAGCACATTGGTCACATGATCGCAGTGTTTATAAATACATGGTTTATACACAAATTACTGGCTCATGATTACGTGGGTTATATACAGTTTTTTGGGGTATTACCTTACGTAGCTATACGTACAAACAATACATGAGAACAGCATGCAGAAAGCTGTAGTTAAAAGAAATGAAGCAACCAATAGGAAAAATTTGAACATTTAATTCAAGAATGAACCAGAAAACAGGAACCGTTTAATAGATCAGCCCATCACTGATCAGACTCTCAAACATTATATCAAAATGTAGCTGATTCCTTTGTCTGCTAACTAGAAGTAACACATTTCCAATATTTTCATCTAAACTGTTAAGTCACTTTATTTTTGAAAGTACAAAACTGAAATGTCTGCACTAGAAAAGTTAGTGCCTTTCAGATGTTTTATCATAGTAGATGACTGCAGGGCAAGCAATCAGCTCAGTGTTACATTTTTGTTTCTGAGAACGTCCAAGCACCAGGAAATAGCTGTATACCAACCAACCCTTGTTGCCAACCAACCGCAGTTTCCCCAACACACAACACAAACCTCATCACAATAGAGGCAGTATATGTCCACAACATACACTAAATAAACATACAATAAAATGTAAGGTATGTGTATGATGTTATAAGGTTAAATTAAATGGTCTTATGTTGCAAGGATATGGAATAATTGCTTATTGTTTATACCAGTTTTTAAGGTAATGATTTTAGGCACCATGCACAAACCTTTGCACATGAAAAAAGCTAATACATTTTTACCTGTGGGCAGGAAGTGCAAACATGTCAGTACACTGTGGTCAAAGCCCCTGCAGTTGTCTTGGCTTTGTGTGAAAGGGAAGTAAGAACAGACCAGACCACACTGAGAGAAGTTAGAGACATCGTCTGCTGTCATATTCACATGAAAGGATACTTCTCTCCTCATTTTCCATTGCATCACTGTAAATACAAAGTATTAGAATTTCTGACAAGCAGAGCAGCAGAGTGTGTCAGCGCTGGAGGTGAAGATGGGGCACACTTTGCTCTGTGTGCTGGCGTTATTCTGTGAGTACATCAGCAACTTTTCAATTTTGTGACTTTCAGAGGCAGACTCATGTTTTTATATAGACTGCAAAGCTTTTGGATATCTAACTAGATTATTATTATTTTTTTGCACACATATTTGCATACTGCATGTACCGTATATAATGTACGGTATTGTTACAGTTAGAGTTTTTGAATTGATTTAATTGGGTATTTTATATATTTGATATTAGGAGTTTCTCACCTCTTTACAGACTTAAAGAACATCATCACAGAAATGCATAATACTATTGACTGATAAGCTATAGTTGCAACTGTTGTTGTCCAATGAAGTTTTTATCTTTATTGTAGTGCTGAGCACGCTCCTCTATGGACAAGATGAAGGTGAGCAGTTGTCTATTTCTTTTATTTTTAATCATTCAGTATTGATCTCTCATTTTACTTCATGTGTGAAAAACAAATTATGAAAGTATTATTTTGTATGCATGTTTATGTAGGGAGACCTGATGCTGTGCAGACCTTGATGTCAAAGTGTAGTAGTTTTTCTGCAGAGTTTGTTGCCTTAATACAGACACATCTTCTTTCAATACATTTATCTAATCATCTTAACAGGGCAGAATGAGGAACAAGATAGACACACTGAGGGCCCTGATGTGACGGAAGGGCTAACAGGTGCTACAGTCAGTTACAACGGTCTGCCCCAATATTTCAATTTGTAATTACCCCATGCCGTGCCTCTTGCCCAGTGTCAGCTGGGATCAGCCCCCTTGCAACCCTGAATAGGGTAAGAAGTTTTGGATAATAAATTAATAATTCCACTTATTATGCAGTTCAAATCTCATTTTTGATAGTGACTTGGTGTGCTCGGTGCCGCAGTTGTTGTTGGGCGAGTGCGCATGCGCCGAGGCCTCTACTGTAGCCTGGAGTTTAACAGTGACGAGAAGTCGATAATGGCGGACAATTTAGTTTCGTGCCAATATGGCAACACTTTGGCTTTGAGCCAGATGAAGGAGGCAACTCTTGTTTGCACTGATTGAGTAAGCTAAACCTGCAAATTTATTTGCAAGGAATAAAAGAAACAACGTGTTACTGTCACTCTGTTGTCCTATGGTCGTTTTTTATTTTAAATGAGTCAATTGCACCCCAAGTGGCGAAAATCCGGTATTACCGACTTGATGCAGTTTTTCACAAAAACCTGATCGTTTTTTTTTTTTTCTCATACCGACCCAACCCTAATAGTATATGCAGGGTGTCTGCAGGTCCCTATGAAGTCTTGAAGTGTAATAAATTCAATTTTTTAAACTTTAGGCCATAAAATTAAATGGTAGTCCTAAATTTGAATTTGTGAGGTCTTAATTGCCACAAACATTTGATCTAATTTCATGTGACCATCTTTAGCTTTCTTTTGGTCAAAATGAGTCAAGGTCTTCTGCGTGAAAGTCCACGTATATAATGTTACAAAATCTTTAAAAGTACCGTTGGAGTACTTATGGTTTGTTTTAGGCCATCAGCCCAGCACAACAAGGGTTTAAATTTCCATTACAACAGGGTTACCCACTTGAGAGTGTGTCTTTTAGTAGTGTCTGCTTGCCTTGCGTGATGACATTTAAAAACAGATACACAGCTTAAGTCCCCTGTTATTCTTGCTGCATGTGTTTTTCCACAGCAGGGCAGGTAAAAAAAGTTTACCTGTTGGTAGGTGAGCTGTTTGCAGAGGTGCAGTCAGAGCCTGTTGTCTGCAGCTCTTCATTTCATATCACAGTAGCTGTTTCTGCTTTTACTCTTCCTCCCCGTGGTATTATTAGACTTGCCCTTATTAAAGAAAGGCGCTTCATACAACCTCAAACACAGCTGAACGCGAACATGAAACAGTAAAATAAAGCAGATATCTAAAGTAAAAACAGGACGCAGGAGAGAGACTAAACTCCAAACCACAGAGATTCAGTTGAAAGCCACAAAAGTACTGAGAGCTGAACACACAGAGACTTTAAAAAACACTTTTCTCTCAGGTCTCCTGCACACAGAGGTGAGTGGAGTTGCAACACACATGGTTCATTTGAGGTGTAGAAGAGGGGTCATTGAGGGTTGGCTGTGGTCGGCATGACGTCACTGCTACCCGCTTGAGGGCAGGCAGCCTGGCTTTTGGACCTACTCCAGAAAGGGTCCATCTCTGGCCCAGCTAAACTGACAATGGAAATGCATATGGGCACAGCATGGCTTTACTCGGCACGGCCAAGAGTGACAGTGGAAAAGGAATATTGAAATATTCTGAAAGATTTTAAATTTGGTTAAAAGTTATCATGATTGGGACGTCAGTGGCTTAGTGGATAGAGCAGGCGCCCCATGTACAAGGCTGTTGCAGCAGCGGCCTGGGTTCGACTCCAGCCTGTGGCCCTTTACTGCATGTTCATACCCTTCTCTCTCTCTCCCCCCTTCATGCTTAACTGTCGTATCTATAAAGGCAAAAATGCCCAAAAAATATCTTAAATTTTTTTTAAAAAAAAGTTATTGTGAAAAGGTTTTCAAAAGTATTCAGTGTAAGTTTTTGGTACCAGTAAACACACTGATTTGATTCACATCATTCTCGTATTCATCAAACCATTCAGTGAACCTGTCTGCCCTGTGTGGAAGCATCTGCATTGTTTATGAATTATTGTCAGAGTCACCAAGTAGCCATATTGATATGATCATCCTGCTGACGCTATGCTTATATTATTTAAATTAAATCTTATTTTAAGGTTTAGAAACCTTGAACCTTGACTGGTTTTAAATGTATATTTCTTTGGACAGTTTTTCTCACAGAAAGCATGTAGCATGAATCTTGTCACACAAGATAATCTGGAGTGATGTACTTTAAATGACTAACTGTCACAAACATAATCACTTGAAGGAAAATAAAAAAAACAGGAAGAGGAGAAGGGCAGAGTTATGCTGTTCAAATCAAGAGCTTCATATAAATGATAGATGGCCTTTCAAAGCATCTGATAAATGTTTCCTTGTGAAAGATGAAGACAGTACTAGTCACTATAAAAATTGGTCCATCTGCTATGTGTCTGGTAAAAGCAATATTCCAGGAGTGGAGGATGCCTCCTCAAGTCTTTTATTTTTTAATATCTAAATTCAGGTAAAACGCATGACTGGTAGGTGCGGTATCTGTGCTCTTTTCCTCTTGACAATAAACACCATTTTGCTGAATGTTTTGTAGTAGGTGACTTTTTTATGTCTTGTTTTATTCTAGATTTTAGATAGGTGTGATGACTCCTATGTATTTTGTTAAAATATACTTCAAACTCAGTAAAGTTCAGTATAATAATGTCAAAGCAACCTTTCATCTCTGTTACATCATTTTATGTTTCCGGTGAAAATCATCTTTATTGAGGTGAATGTTCATTAAAAATAATGATATAGTTGTGATGTAAGGAAGTTGCGGTGTTGCGGTGAAAAATTGTTCTAGATATATTGGGTTATTGATGACAAATTGTGTTGTATGGCAAATATAAATGTTGTTAATGCCAAATTGCAACACGTTTTTATTTGATAAAGAGTTTAAGTTGATTAATAATAGCAGCTGCAGTTAATTTTAAATCTAAATGTTAAAACATTTAGAGTATTTTTTAAATCTTAAGTCTTTTTTAATGAATGAATTAATGTTAAGATATACAGTAGCTAGCCTGCATGTTTAACTAGATATTAAACAGTATTACTAAAATATATTTCAATATTGCTGGGGTCAAACAGCCTAGTACCTGTATGAAATGCATCCTCTGTCGAAGGCTACTAGTATGGTGGTACCTTGGGAGACTTTTGTGAGCCTTTGTAAGCTCCTTTATACCCTGACCCACTGCTAGTGTTAATTACTGACCTTTGAGTAGATTCTTCCAAACAGTTCTAAAGATTACTGTGTATTTGTTTGTATAGCTGTCAAGTTGTATTTGTAAGTTATTAATATTTTTAATTTTTCTGCAAAACAGAATAACATGAATTAACATAAGTACAGTCAAGATTTTGGTGAATAATAACATGTTATCTGTGTGGTTTTTAGTCCTGTTTGTATCCTAACTGTATTTTTGATGTGAACAGTTTCCAACAAAGCCACTGTGACCCTTCAACCCAACTGGCTTCAGATATTCAGTGGTGAGAAGATGACTCTGAGATGTGAGATCCAGGGAGGTGGAGACACTGGGTGGACATATGAATGGAGTACACCCAGCGGATACGCACGTCCAGCAGGAAAAGATTACATTATTAGCAGGGCTGCTGAGTACAACAGTGGAGAATACAGATGTATGGGTAGAAGAGGCTCCTATTCCTCAACACAGTGGAGTGATGTCATCACATTGACAGTCTTGTGTAAGTTGGACCATCAATAATTCACAGGGAAAAGTACAAGAATGAACAAAGAATATCAAGAAACTTACAGGGTGAAACCATGACACAGTTTAATACTGTTCCCCCAGTAACTGGTAGTTAGATTAGTTTAGGTTGATTACTTAACTGGCTCGCCTACATTGCCTGTAGGTGTTGGTGTGAGTGGTTATTTGTGTGACGTGTTAGACCTGTGATAGACTGGAAACCTGTCCAGGGTGAACCCTTGCTCTCGCCTAATGTCAGCTTGGATTGGCTCCAGCTTCCTGTGAGCCTGCAGAAGGATAAGTACATAGTACTGAAAAAACAAACAGTGAATGTGTTCAACTTGGCTCTTAATCACAACTTCTTTTGTGTGTGTTGAGTTTCAGAGGAACATTTGTTCAATGCACAGTGGCGCTCAAAATATAATTATACAATGTTTTAGGTGATCGTGCTACAGTTAGTTTTTCACCTCCAAGAATGGATGAACGATGTTATGTATTTTTAGGGCTGTCAAATGATTAATTTTTTTAATCGCGATTAATCGTAGAATTTCCATAGTTAATCGCGATTAATCGCATTTTGAATTGCATGTTTAAAATTCTGTTGTTTTGCATTTCAAGGCAGTTTTAAGCCCATAATGTAAAGCATTTCTTACCAGAGTGTCTTAATTGGAAATCAAATGAACACACAGAAAGAATTTCCTTTTTGACCTTTTGTATTTTCTTTCAAAAAAGCGCCATGTAGACCAACTTAATACAATACCTGAGTCTTCTACGATGTTGACTGGTCTGCAGTCAGTTGCTACCCATTTAGCAATCGCTTTAGTTAACTTCTTCGATGTACTTTAATCCACGGGTATGCGGCGACTCCCACACTCCAAAATGGTACTTTGGCGGAGCTGAGGCTCGCTTGGCTGGGGTGCGCCGGCTGCACCTAGGTGTTTAGCGTGGAGGTGGTAACTCAAACTCGACGTACTCCGGTGGTAGTTAAACTCCGTTTGACACAAGTTGCATTTTACTTTTGACTTGTGAACTGAACCGTCTGGAAGTTTTTTAAAGTTAAACAAGCCGTTCAAAAGTCCAGTAGCACTCTTTCTTTCCATCACCACGGTAAGTTTACTGCAGGAAGCCGCTTCGAAGCATGAAGGCTACAGCTAGAGGAGCCGACTACGGGTGAGTAGAAGGGACAAAAAGGCTTGCAAAATTAAAATGAGATAAAAAAAGATAAACGCGTTATAGATTGCATTAATCTAATCGCGATTAACGAGTTAACGCTGACAGCCCTAATTTTCATCAAGGTATATTAATTGGGTTCATTCACAGGAACAGTGATGACCTTTTATGTCTCTATTCTCAGTTGAACAGCACGTAAACCAATGGCTAGAAATGTGGACAATAACTACCATTTTTATTTCTGTGTTCTAAATTACAACAGCATCCAGACCACGGGCCAGACTGAGTGCTGACAATGAAGACATTCCTGTAGGGGGCAGTGTGACCCTGACCTGCTCTGTGAACCCATCATCATCATCATCATCATCTGGTTGGACATACTTCTGGTACAGAGGAGAGGAGTCTCTGAGCTCACAAGATGATGTCTTCCTCTCAAATGGACAAATCAGTGTCTCACAGGGAGGACTCTACCGGTGCAGAGGAGGAAGAGGAGACCCTGTTTACTACACAGAGTACAGTGATTCAATCCGTATCAACAAAATAAGTGAGTATGGCGTTTCTCTAAAACAGTTAAAGACATTGGGTCTTATCTTACACCAGGTGCAAAGCAGGGCACAGTGCAAATGTCACTGCAGTGTCAGACCAACACAGATGTCATTTTCACAGCCAGTTACAACGTTGTATAAGTTGTGCCCATCTGTGTGTGTGTAGGTGTTAAAATAATGTGTGAGGCCTGGCATGTTGTTATTTTGAGGCAGCAGAAAGCGATTGTGTCATTAACCAACAAACAGCTGGTCTAAAGTCAGAATGGCGCTGTATTTTCATGCTATTTAAAGTGCACATTAATCAGATAGTAAGATGAGCCTACATAGGTGGGTTCACAACCTGCCTACACTGGTTGATACACACACAGGAACAAGTTGATGGGTTGTGGGTCAGTGAATAATACAACATTAATGAGTTACATATTAATGACATTCTCTAAAATGTGAGCATAGCAGAGAGCAGTGCAGAGCTGCAGAGCTGCTGTCTGACTCCCCTTTAAGAGAGAGGCTGTGCACATTTACACACAACAAGCAGCTTGGAGTATTTTAGTTTAAACTATTTGCAAGATTACTGTTATAGATGTTGAGTTGTATTTGTATGTTTTTATTATTATTTTTAATTTTGCTGTAAAATATAACAAAATGCATTAACACAAGAACCATAACTGTTGTAGTGGAAAACAGTTGCAT